GCACTGCTTTGGGCTGGCTTCTGGGACGGTGATGAGTCCGGAAGAGGCACTTTACAAGCATTGGAGGAGTTCGCACGCATGGTTGACCATGACCCTGTGCACCCCAACACCTATATCGGGAGAGCTGTCAGGAACCAAGACGACTTTCAATCCTGCTTCAAGGATGGGAGCAAGCCTGCGAAGAGGGCAATGCATCACTTCTGGACCTATACCAGCTTTGCTTTTGTCACAGGCATGGCAATGAAAGACCAGAGGTGCATCATCGCCGTCGTGAATAAGCCGATGGAGGGCGAGCGGCCCCTCCAGGATTCTGCTGCTAAGCTTTGTCGCCAGTAGTCTTGTTCCCTTTCTGGGTTTAGGGTTAGGGGCTTAGGGCTTAGGGTTTGGGGTGTAGGGTTTAGGGCCTAGGTTCGGGCGCACGGCGGAAGGAAGGGCCCCTGTCGACATAGCCTTCGTTTTGTAAACCATATAAATCCTGTACACCCTAAACCCTAAACCCTAAGGGTTTACATCCTACAGGTTTTAGGATTTGTGAATCGAGGTCTTGGCATTGTACGAGGCCCCCAGCATTGGCGCTGCCGCGCATCGGTTTGGGTGGAGGCCACTGCTTCCCCAAACCTTCATTCCCAAGCCCTAAACCCCAAAGCCCCAAACCCTAAAACCCCACTTGTAAAAAAAAAGAGCCTAAACCCCAACTTTAAACAAAAGAGCCTAAACCCCCTAGGGCCCTAGAGGCCACTGCTTCTTCTAATTGACCTCCTTGGCCCTAAACCCTAAGCCCTAAACCCCAAAAGAGGCCACTGCTTCTTGTAGTTGACCTCCTTGGCACCTGCAGCAAGACAATGCCCTTCCTCATGGAGAACGCCATGGAAGGATGGCAGCGCATGAAGCTTGGATTTATGGTTTAGGGTTTAGGGTCTAGGGTTGAGGGTTTAGGGTTTAGGGTTTAGGGTTGAGGGTTTAGGGTCTAGGGTTGAGGGTTTAGGGTTTAGGTTGATGGCAGCCCACTCTGGTTGGCCTTGAACTAGGGGTTTAGGGTTTAGGGCTTTAGGGGTTTAGGGGTGTAGGGGTTTAGGCGTTTGGGGGTTTAGGGGTTTAGGGTTTAGGGTTTCCACTCTGGTTGCCCTAAACTCTGAAGCCTAAAGTTGAAGCCCTAAACCTTAAACCCTAAACTCTGAAGCAATCTCAGAAGCCTAAACCCGAAACTCTGAAGCCTAAACCCTAAATCCCACCATCTTACGAAGACGGACATGAGTTTTTGTCGTGCATCGAAGAGCAGCCAAGGAAATACTCTTACACTCATATCTCTGGTCTGCGGTTAGACAAGGTGGAATGCATCCCGTGTCCACCGCCTCGGTGTAGTCTCAATCAGGAGCTGGCGAACCAGGTGACGGCGAGTCTCAAGCAGTAGCGGCTCAGGGCGTTTTCGCTGCTACTTGACAGCTGCATCTTGGGTCTCACTCGTGTGGATATCTTGGTTTATGACGGCCAGACCGGAAGCAAGATTGTCTCCATCTCTGCAATAAAGATGGGGGGCATGAATAACTGCCATCATCATAATCCCCTTTAAGGTAAGTACTCATGTTTTCATGTAGCTAGTTGTGGGAAGGCTCACTCTAATGGAACATACTGCAGGTCGACCTGTCCAGAGAGGTTTCGGAAGCTAAGAATCGAAACTGGGAGCTCCGCAACATTTTTCGTATTACACTATACTATGCTACTGCCATGCTCTACTATACTATGCTATACTAAATCATAAAAGTGTGGGGCCTTGGGATTCATCAAAGTTGCAGCAGAGCCTGCAACCCCAATGGCCAGGAGCCCTGAGCCCAGTACGAAGAATCGTACCCAACAACTCAACGTTTAGGGTTCAGGGTAAAGAGGGGGTTTCTCCGACCCTAAACCCTTATTAACCCTGAATCCTAAACCCCAAACCCTGAACCCCTAACCCTAAACCCCGAACCTTAAACCCTCTTGAACCCCCTCGTTACAAAATCTCTTGAGGCGCGCCGACGGGTGAGCGCCGAGATGGCGCGCCGCAGCGGGCCCAGTGGAGGCCAGGACATGTCGAAGCCGCAGGGCTTGGGGCCCTTTTTATGGCCGGAAGGCTCAGAATAGCCCGAAAGCCTTGTATAGTATGGTATTTGGGGGCCGAAAGCCTTAAGATATGAGTCCTTAGAGCCTTGGGGTAAGGGTCATCGCCCCTACCATGCGCTACAGGGGTTCCGTACTATCCTGGCGACCTAGACAGGGACGCTAATTTAGAGAACTACCGACATAGAAGCTTGTAAAAAAGTTACTTATCAATATTATATTTCTGAGGGCTCCCTGTTATGACAATCATGCGCCGAATCTGCCCCCGAAGCCCTCTTCTGATTGTTTCCTCGGGGGGCCTGAGGGTTGAACGGTTCAAGGGCCGAAGGTTTCGGGTTTAGCATTGACGGTTTAGGGTTTAGGGTTTGGGATTTACGGTTTACCTAGACGCCAAAGAACCTACCTTTTTAAGGACTTCTATCAGGAAATTACAATAAGGAGCCCTAAAAAGGGAGGTTCTTAAGGGTCCAGGTAGGGTTTAGGGCTCAAGGAAGTCGCGAGGTTTCTGGCAACGGGGCAACGGGGACTGCCAGCAAAATCGACGAGTGGAACAGACACAGCCGGAAATGACATCAAGAAGGCTAGCACCGATTTCTGGTCGAGGCAGTAGCAGCAGTATCGGAAGCAACAGCACTACTTACAAGAAGGCCGTTGGAAATGACATCAGCACTAATCACTAGCCATAGCCGAGCCCTAAGCCCAACATCCCAAGCCCTAAACTCCCTAGGCCTTATAATCCCTATAACCCTGAACTCTTTAAGCCCTTTATGCCCCCCAAAACACGCCAAGTGGAATCGTGTAGCTACTCGTAGGCTCCTTAGTAGTTCCTTTTTGGGATTTCCTTATAGGATTCTAAATGTAAACCATAAAAAGGGAACTACTACGGAGCCTATGGGTACAGTCATGCCAAACCTCGGCCAAGCCGCACGCCGGAGGCCTGCCCAGGCCGCTGCAGGATCCGGCCTGGTATTGTTTAGGGTTTAGGGTATGGCCTGGTGTTTCAGAGTTTTTGTTTTTTTAAGGCTTTAGGGTTTAGGCTGACTATAAGGGTACTATGGTGCCTTAGGCTTTAGGGCGTAGGGTGTGGGGGTAGTTTTGTTTCAGGGGCTTTTTAGCCGGTTTGGAGCAGAGGGTATGGAGAGATTTGCCGGATCTGTCTCGATCTATGAGGTCCTGCAGCTGAGGCGCAACTGTGTCAGTTTTTGAAGAAGGGTTTAGGGTTTAGGGTTTAGGGTATGTCGACCAAACTGTTGAGGTGAGTGTATGTTCGACGGAAGTCCGACATTTTTTGCATAAGAGAATTCGTCACACTCGTGGACCTCGACATATATCCCACCACAACCCACCCAGAGCATTTGTCCTCAGCTTAAGTCCCTAAGCGTCCACAAGCAAAGAAGAAAATAGTCATGCAGCTATAGACTTTGCAGCTCTCAGCTTTTTATTTGTGATGCCCAGCGACTTCGACAAGGTTTCGAAAATCACCGTGCTTGCGCGCCCATGCACGGATCTCACGATGCTGCGGCGCCATTGCCCCCGGAGCCAGCAAATCCAGGGGAAAATCGCGGGGGCTTAAGTTTTGTTTTTGGCGCGTTCTTTTTTCAAGAATTTTGGCGCCAAGCCAGAAAGTCGGGTCCGGGCCGAAAACACACTAAAACGAATATTTGTCGTAAAAGAAAGTCGACGGCACGCACATTTGTATAGACTTTGCAGCCTTCAGCTTTTTATTTGTGATGCCCAGCGACTTCGACGAGGTTTCGAAAATCACCGCGTTTGCGCGCCCATGCACGCATCTCCCGACGCCCATTGCCCCCGGCGCCAGCAAATAGCGCGGGGGGTTCTTTTTTTTTGACCCAATTTTTTTCTCGAGAATTTTGGCGCCAAGCCAGAAAGTCGGGCCCAGGCCTCGAAAAAACCTAGAACGAATATGTGTCGTAAAAAAATAGACAGCGCCTACGCTTGTATAGACTTTGCAGCCTTCAGGTTTTTATTCGTGATGCTCAGCGACTTCGACAAGGTTTCGAAAATCACCGCGCTTGCCAGCCCAGGCACGGATCTCAAGACGCCAGTGCCCCCGGAGCCAGCAAATCAAGGAGAAACTCGCGGGGGTTATTTTTTTTGACGCGATATTTTTTTCCAAAAATTTTGGCGCCAAGCCGGAAAGTCGAGTCCGGGCCGGAAAAAAAACACCAAAACGAATAGTTGTCGTAAAAAAAGACAGCGCATACGCTTGTATAGACTTTGCAGCTCTCAGCTTTTTATTCGTGACGCCCAGCGACTTCGACAAGGTTTCGAAAATCACCGCACTTGCGTGCCCATGCACGGCTCTCACGACGCTGCGGCGCCATTGCCCCCGGAGCCAGCAAGTCCAGGGGAAAATCGCGGGGGCTTAAGTTTTGTTTTTGGCGCGTTCTTTTTTCAAGAATTTTGGCGCCAAGCCAGAAAGTCGGGTCCGGGCCGCAAAAAACCTAAGAGGAATATAATATTTGTCGTAAGAAGAGTAGACGGCGCCTACATTTGCACAGACTTTGCAATGATGCCCAGCGACGTCGACAAGGTTTCGAAAATCACCGCGCTGACGCACCCATGCACACTCCCATGCACTTTGCAGCCTCCAGCTTTATATTTGTGATGCCCAGCGACTTCGACAAAGTATCGAAAATCACCGCGCTTGCGCGCCCATGCACGGATCTCACGACGCTGCGGCGCCATTGCCCCCGGAGCCAGCAAATCAGGGGGAAAATCGCGGGGGGTTAATATCTTTTGACGCGATTTTTTCCCAAGAATTTTGGCGCCAAGCCAGAAAGTCGGGTCCGGGCCGAAAAAACCACTAAAACGAATATTTGTCGTAAAGAAAGTCGACGGCGCGCACATTTGTATAGACTTTGCAGCCTTCAGCTTTTTATTTGTGATGCCCAGCGACTTCGACGAGGCAAAGAAAATCACCGCGCTTGCGCGCCCATGCACGGGTCTCACGACGCTGCGGCGCAATTGCCCCCGGAGCCAGCAAAGCAAGGGGAAAATCGCGGGGGCTTAATTTTGTTTTTGGCGCGTTCTTTTTTCAAGAATTTTGGCACCGAGCCAGAATGTCGGGTCCGGGCCGGAAAAAGCACTAAAACGAATATTTTTCGCAAAAGAAGTAGACGGTGCCTACATTTGTATAGACCTTGCAGCCTTCAGCTTTTTAGTTGTGATGCCCAGCCGCTTGCGCACCTATGCACGCATCTCACGACGCTGCGGTGCCATTGCCCCCGGAGCCAGCAAATCCAGACGAATATTTGTCGTAAAAAAAGACAGCGCCTACGCTTGTATAGACTTTGCAGCCTTCAGGTTTTTATTCGTGATTCCCAGCGACTTCGACCGGGTTTCGAAAATCACTCCGCTTGCGCGCCCATGCACGGATCTCACGACGCTGCGGCAGCATTGCCCCCGGAGCCAGCAAATCAAAGGGGGGGTTAGTTTTTTCTTTTGACGCGATTTTTTTCCAATTATTTTGACGCCAACCAAAGTCGGGCCCGGGCCGAAAAAAACATGAAAACGAATATTTGTCGTAAAACAGTGTTTCTTGTGCTCGCGGATATGTCCGGGAGGATCTTTTCTCCTGTATGGATGGGCTTGAGGAAGGCTTCTGCCTCCATGTATGGATGTGTCTTGGAAGGTGGTTCTTCTTTGCTGGGACATCCTTAAATCAATGTGCAAGCAATCTTTCAGATAGATGTACTTCCCGTGTATAGGTCAAACGCACGTGTACATAGCGGGTGCGCTTGCGGTCGTGGTTGATTTTTTTCTCGGCTCGCCGCAATCTTTTGGAGCTCAGAACCCATCGTAGTGCAGCTTTGTGGGTGGCCGCCTTGTCGGGGCGACGGGGCTCAGTACCCAGAGCCAAGTGCCACCGGCAAATCAGCCGCCCACTCAGTCGGCATGCTGCCGCTCCTTGACACGAGGCGAAGACTGCAGCAACCCCTGTATGGACAGTTGTATGGACATTAATTATTCGAGGCCGGGTTTGCATGTGCGCGTTTTTTCTGTCTCCGAGGCATGGCGTCGTGAAGCGACAGAGTAGGGACCACTGCAGCACCACGGGCTCGAGTTTGTTTTTCTTTGCGTGACAGGGTGGGATATGTCGTCGGCTGAGGAGTGGGGCGACTGGGCCATTCCCTTCAACGCGGCCGTCGTCAGCAGTTTCGGTTGCCAAGCCCCGGCCGAACGGCCTAGTTCCAGCACGGGCACGGCGCTCGAAGTGGAGCCCGTCGTATGCTCCAAGACGGGCAGGCCAGTCCACTTTGGCCCGCAAACGAGCCATGTGACGCAGCTCCGGGA